GAATCGTCAATAAGTCATGTTACCACGTATAACAGATTCGTAATATTAGAAACTACAGACGATTCTATGGACGTAGTTGAAACATCAACAAATCAACGTACGCAAAAAGATCCTCCTCCCCTACCAATCTTCATTGATGATGTCATCGACATACAAACAATGATAAAGTCTATCGAGAAAGATGTTAACAAAGAGGATTACAAACTTAAAATAAAAGATAATCAGGTAAAAATTTTGCTGGCTAATCCAGATTCCTATAGAAAACTAACAGAGTTACTAAAAACCCTGAACGCAAATTTCCACACATATCAATTGAAACAAGAAAAACCTTTTCGTGTGGCACTTCTCAACATCCACCACTCAGCTATTTTAGATGAATTGAAGTTTGAACTCTTAAATCATGGCCACTAAAGTAGCCAACATTAGCAATATAAGACATAGTATCACAAAAAACCCGCTATCCTTATTCTTTATTGATTTAAAGCAAAAGCCAAATAATAAAGAAGTCTATAACATCAACCGTTTAATGAATTCTGTAGTAAAAATTGAACCACCTTTTATAAAAAAAGAGATAGTTCAATATAAAAGGTGCCAAAGGTACGGTCACACACAGAAATATTGTAACCACAATTACCGCTGCGTTAAATGTGCAGGTTTTCACTCCACAGATCAGTGCATTAAATCTTCAGAAACTCCTTCATCCTCTGTCAAGGAGAGCATCCTGTGAACTATAAAGGTTGCACAGCCTACAAGGCCTTGTACAAAAATAAGTACCCTAAACCCAGAATTAAGGACCTAACCAATAAAGTACTTATTCCACAAAAATTCACTACTCCTCCAACCTCCTATGCACAGATAGTTCAAGAAAATCAAAGCAGACCGAAAATCTATAGTGATCATTCACAAAATAGTGTTTCCAGTTCACGAAACACGGATAACTTCAATAGGCTTGAAAAATTAATCGTGAAACAAACAGAGCAAATCAATAACTTGCTATCATTGCTTACAATCATCGTGGACAAATTAACACACTCCGACGTAAAATGAAACCAATACGCATAGCTCTTTGGAATGCCAACGGTCTAGCTCAGCATAAATATGAACTAGAACTCTTCTTAAAACAAGTCTTAAAACTCTTCTCCGATAAAAATTATCTGAAAATAAACGGTTATAACTTTTTATCATATTCAACATCCCAGTGGGAAGGCTCATGGCGGCACTGAAATTATCATCAAGAGCAGCATAAAACACTATGAGCTCCCATCATTCCAGAAGGACTATCCCCAAGCTACAAATCTAGCGATAGAAGACTGGCATGGTCCAATCACCACGTCAGCAGTATACTGTCCTCCTAGACATTGTATTTCCAAAGAAGACTTCGATAACTTCCTCGAAGACTTGAGCAATAGATTCATAGCTGGAGGAGACTATAACGCTAAACATACGTATTGGGGCAGCAGAATTACCACAGTAAGAGGCAAAAATTTTTTGAAATGCATAAACGCCAGCAGACTTAATTACCCCAGTACAAACGAACCCACTTACTGACCCACTGACACTAACAAACTACTTGATTTATTAGATTTTTTTATAACTTTTTCTTTTGCACGTGGAGAAATCCTCATGAACACTTCGCCGCTGCTAATAATCGGTAATAGCAGAGTAGTGTCAGACTCTTACCAACTAAAACTCCAGGATGACCATCCACGCGTATGAACCTCTTATGAATTATCTTCTGTTGCACCTCCTTCCCGCGTCCTCTTGTTCGAGCCAGTCCTAATAATTCTCTGACTGTTGAATTTGGCATTAGGGGGACCATTGCCACTAGCGCTATCCCCCTCACCCCTTCTAGTCGTGGTCCGTTGGGGTGGTTCGTTGGGACAGCGACGAAGCGGCTCTAGGCCGCTTGACCGTCCTCTCCATCGCGTTATCCTGCAAGGGTGAGAGTTTTTCTTTCTCTCTCTTTCTGCTCGCTCCTTTGCGAGCATAACTCGCTTGCAGAAGAGTCGGACAGCCTCATATTCCTGTGGCCCGCTCAACATCGCTTCTACGATCATCGAGGGGGTCAATTTTTCGCCTATGACGTGCCCTAGGATGTAGCGGGACAGTTCCCACGCTGGACAAAACTCCAGCGTGTGCTGCGCCGTGTTCCTGCCAAACTCCAGCGTGTGCTGCGCCGTGTTGCTCCCATCCCCGCAGTGGTGACAGATGTCCGTCGTCTCCCGTCCGATTTTCCTCAGGTACTCGCAGAACACGCCGTGTCCCGTGTATACCTGGGTCATCCTGTAGGTGAGCGGGAGGCCGCGGCGGCTTCTCCATGTCTCCTAGTTTGAGAGGACCGCCTTCGCGCCTCGATGTTCGCCTCCCTCGTTGATCAGCTGAGATCGCCACTGGTCCCACGCGTCCTCCTCGGTGGTTCCTAGGTCCTTTGGGACCGCCTGCTCGGTCGAGTCCTCTCCCGGATCCTATACTCTCGTGTAGGTATATCTTCTCTTGAGCGCCAGTGCTCGAAGCTTTCACGGGGGAGACGCGGCCAGAACGGTCGCTGACGCGTGGGACACCGTTCGGTATCCCCTGACGATCCTGATGGCGGTTACCCTGTGCAACCTCCTGAGGAGCAAGGTGCTGCGACGACTCGCCATCAGATCGTCCGCCCATACCGGGGCCCCGTACCTCACTTGGGACCGAACGACGCCCCCGCATATTTTTTTATAACTAAACAAATCTTGCCAAGATATGTTCAAATCAACTCTTCTGTGGAACTCTCTTCAGATCATTCACCCGTTATAGCAACAATTAACTCAACAATTATTGAAGATCAATCTAGTGACATTATTCATGACCAACTCACAAACTGGCAGTTCTTTAGGGAAGTCTTCAATCGTTCAACATTAGCCTTAATACCCCTAAAACAAATGAAGATATAGATGCAGCCACGGAATATTTAAACACCAGCATAATAAACGCGATCCGTTCTTCTACCCTTACTAAGAGTTTTGTTAATAAACATGAATACCCCCATTATTTAATAAAAAAAATCGTAGAAAAACGCAGACTTAGAAGAGCATGGCAAAGTCATAGAACACCTGACGACAAACGTAACCTAAATAATGCAACGAGAAAATTAACTAAAATCTTTAAAAATTATAAAAACGACTGTTTTCAAAAATATCTTGCTTATCTGTCTCCCACAGCTGACTCCAACTACTCACTATGGAAGGCATCCAGGAAACTCACTCGTCCTCCGCAAATAATCCCTTCAATTCGCTATCCGCAAGGAGGATGGGCGCGTAGCCCTGTACAAAAAGCCAACTTGTTTGCAAGCCACTTAACTGATGTTTCCAAACCGTATTCCTCCACTATTGCAGCGGAAATAGCTGAATACTTGCACTTACTCTTGCAGATGCTTCCTCCTATTGAGCCTTTCTCATCTCTGGAAGTTTAATTAATCCATCGTCTAAATCTCAGGAAAGCATCGGGGTATGATCTGATAAATAATAAAGCTATTAAAGAGCTTACCATAAAAGGGATTACACTCATCACTTCTATTTTTAATGGAATTCTTCTCCTTTAATACTATCCTATATCTTGGAAAATATCATTAATTACTCTTATCCCTAAATCTGGAAAACCAATACGCGAAACTAGCTCTTATCGCCGAATTAGTCTTCTACCTTCTTTGTCCAAACTATTTGAGAAGATGCTAACGAAGCGACTCCTTCCACTCTTAGAGGATTTGAAAACAATGCCAAATCATCAATTCGGTTTTCGGAAGCAACGTTCTACGATAGAGCAAATTCATCGTTTAACTCATAAAATCAGTCAAGATTTAAAAAAGAAAAAATATTGCTCTGCGGTATTCCTGGACATTCAGTAGGCGTTCGGCAAAATGTAGTATGAAGGACTTTTGTTTAAACTAAAGAAAATCCTATCACACACCTAGTACTTCATCTTAAAATCATATCTAACCAATAGGCTGTTTATGATTAAATACTTAGACGCTATAACCGCAATATTTCCAATAGAAGCTGGCATACCCCAAGGCAGTGTCCTCGGACCTCTGTTGTTCACCATCTACACTGCCAATTTACCAACTTTAACAGAGATAACCACAGCGACATTTGCTGATGATACAGCTTTATTGACATCCCACTCAGACCCGATAATTGCCTCCTCAACTCTCCAGCAAAATCTCGACTCTATGGAGAAGTGGTTCCACAAATGACGCTTCAAAATAAATGAAAATAAATCCAGTCATACAACCTTCACGCTGCCCATAGGTGACCATAAATAATGTTCCAATCCCAAACAAAGATTCAGCCAGATATCTGGGCATGATTCTGGACAGAGGAATGACACAGAAACGACACATCTTAGATAAATCCAAGCAACTTAAATTAAAATTTAAAAAATTCTACTGGCTCATTGACAGACGTTCCAACTTAAGCGTACAGAGTGAAATAATGCAATATAAAGCCATATTAAAACCTGTTTGGAACTGTGGGATCCAACTACGTGGAACAGCGAGTAATTGTAACATAGAAATTCTTCAATGATTCCAATCAAAACCTCTAAAATCCTTAACACTAGGTTTACCTTTACACTAGGTTAAGGACCCGTCAATTTGACGGATTTCGAACTTCGAAATGAAATATCTCAAAAACCGTAGCACCAATTTCAACCATTTTACATCGTAAATTAATCATTTCATCTAAAGAATTTATACACAAAATTATTTTTTCCTAGGCTTTCTAATCTTTGAAATCTGTATGTAATATACCTATCTCTATGGGACCCGTCAAAAATACACATTTTTCTCTAAAAAATCGATTTATTCAAATTAAGTCTGAAAGGAACAATATTAGGCTTCACATTTAAATAAATTATTGATAAATAAAGTCTTTTTTAAATTATCACTAAAAAATAACAATAACATTAACGGTACAGGGTAAATATATCCATTGAGTACATTTTTTGCAAATATACTGAATGTTGTTCGTGCATTTTCCGCATACGATCTTTTTGCAATATATACAATAATTATTACTTCTATATTTTTTGCAATAACCCACTTGGCAACTTTTTCGCACTTCTGACTTTGAAGGTGACAGAAATGAAGCGTCTGACCTTTGGCAAATGTTCTCCTTGTTTTCTCCAGCTAATTCCTCGGCTAAACAAAATATGAATTCCTATCGCTGCCAAAGTCTGGTGCACTGTTTATATAATATCCACCCGTTTATCGCTGCCAAATCGAAAATATTGAAAAAGACTTGAAGGGGCCATCGGAAACTCCCTGCTTTCACACTATATTTGCGTGCCATTTAGTCAACGACGTCCACACCAAACTTTGTTTTATCGTAGAAAGCAATGGCTTCTGGAACACGTTTATAATCATCTTCTATTCGTACATCTGTATGTTTGGTGCTTGGGAGGATTTTTACTTTAGGTTTACTTTTATACACAGTATAAGTGTGCAATTTTCTGATTTATATAGATCTGAGGAAAACAAAGTCATCTTGTCCTTTTTTTCCTTAGCTGGTTTTGCCAGTTCTCTTTTATTCGACCGGATGGTCCCAACCAAAGTTGTTTTTCGTGCTAGAAATTTTTTAGCTAGCGGGATGCTTGCAAAGAAATTGTCTGTCGTTATATTTCTGCCTCGTTGCAAATATGGTTCGGCTAATTTTAGTGTTACAAACTCGCTCAATGGTATTGAGCATCGAGTTTCATCTTTCCCCATATAAGGAAAACCATTCAAAATATACTTTGTTTGGACTTTTCAACTGCTAACCAAAATTTAATGCCAAATTTATGGGACTTATTCGACATATATTGTGTAAATCTGCACCGGGCTTTCGTTGGAAATAATTGCTCATCTATCGAAATATTTTCATATGGCTTATAACAAGCCTGGCTATTACTTATAAACCTGTTACATATTTCGGCAAATGCAAAATGGTCAAAATTAATGCTATAGTTTTTGAGATATTTAATTTCGCGAAATCCGTCAAATTGGCGGGTCCCGCAAACCTAGTATTAATGTTATTGTTATTTTTTTTAGTGATAATTTAAAAAAAAGACTTTTTATTTATCAATAATTTATTTAAACCTGAAGCCTAATATTGTTCCTTTCAGACTTAATTTGAATAAATTGATTTTTTAAAGAAAAATGTGTATTTTCGTTTACCCGTCAATTTGACGGGTCCCATAGAGATAGGTATATACGAAACGCCCGTAAACCTAGTGTTAATAGATGCACCTTGGTATGTTACCAACGAAACAATACATCGCGATCTTAAGATATTTACAGTTAAAGAAGAAATATCCAAATTTAGTAATAGATATAACAAAAGAATTAACAACCACCAAAACGCACTAGTTACTCAATTACTTGACACGACGGATCAGATCCGCAGGCTAAAAAGACATTACCCTCTAGATTTAAACATTAGATTCAGCTAAAATCAAATATACGATAATCACTTATTATTCACGTTATAGTACCACGCTAAAATAATTTACTTATAATTCTCAATGAGAATTGATTGTAAAATACATCCAAATAAAAAAAAGAAAAAAAAATATTCAGATTTGGTAACCCGATGAGCGAATCCAGAGTTTTTGTATTCTCTGAACAAAAATAATTTTGTACAGTCTTATTGTAGGTGGGTATAATGTTCTGCTAAAATCCAATTTTTTTTTTTGGTATAATGCGAATAGCATGTTTTTTCAATTGCTCATCAATTAAATCTATACATATTTGATCGTTTATCCGATCTGATATAGAATTTATATCTACATTATTGTTACTACTGTACGTACGTAAAATGTACGAATATATTTTCTTGTATAGATCTACGAGTATTCAGAAGTAAACAAAAATGTTGAGTGGGTACCATATTATAAATTGGCAGAAAATGTTTGTGAATTGCGATACATACTTTTTGAGTAAAGTATGAATAAAATGATAATTATAGTATACAAATATTGGTTGCGCATTTATTTTCTAGCAATTTAGGAATTATAGTAACTAATTTTTTCGATACGACGTTACCATGAAATTTTTATCTATATCTTTTCAGACAGCTTCATACAATGCTCCATTCTTCACAACCTGGTTTTGTACGAATTGGGAAATTCTTTACTTCCCAGTTTACTTCATTTGCCAATCTGCAAGAATCAAATGTAATACTCCATCTGAAATAATTGCAGAGAGTTTACGAGGTTTCCGCGACAAAGGATTTACCGGTGGTCGTTTTTTGATCAGATGTAGTCTTTTTTGTGGTCTCTGGGTAGTTACAAACTATATGTATATTTATTCGCTCAGGATACTACTAGCTACCGATGTAATGGCACTTTTCGCAACCAACGTATCTTGTGTATATTTGTTATCATGGGTAATCCTTCATGAGCAATTTGTTGGAGTAAGGGTTAGTAGATGTTTTCATAAACATTGTCTGCAATCTGTAACTATTAATTGTCTAATAAAACTAACACTGTTGATGAAATTGTTATGTGACAATTATGAATATTGCAGATAGTAGCAGTGATTTTATGCAATACTGGAATTGCACTTTTAGCGTACATGGATGGCATTACTGGAAGTCCAACGTTAGGTGGCGTTGTTCTGGCAACATCGGCAGCAGCTGGTTCGGCAGTTTACAAGGTAAAAGTTAATATTAAGAGATCGATAATTTTGGACAATATCAGTTACATCTAATTTATAATTTGACAATATACATTCTAAACAAACGCTGAAAATAATTTGGTGGAACATATGAGGAAGGAAATATAATGTTAAACTAGGTGCTGTTTAAGAAAGTCATAGGAGAAACAACATTTGGTCAAATGTCTTTATTCTTTTCTCTTATTGGGTTGTGTAATGCGGCGTTGTTATGGCCAATTTGTTTGGCTCTTTACTTTTCGGGAGCAGAAAGCATACACTGGGGACGATTGCCATGGACGGCATTACTTTCAGCAAGCATTTTGCACTTAGGTTAGTATCTTTACTAATTTTAATCTTAAACTTCTATCCAGAATACACCACTAAATCAAGATATAGGTTTGATTATATGAATTCTTCGTATCATAATAAAATAAACCTTTTATGATTTTGCAACATAAATATTTTTACATACTTGCGAACATTTGTTTAAATTTCGCCACTGATTGACCACTACATACAAGCAAGATACAGTGATTATACAGGGTATATCATGCAATCGGGGTGGGTTATATCTTGTATCTCGAATTTGGTAAGAGACAAAAACTCTTAAGGAGAAACTTAAATACTATAGTAATATAGTATTAAATAGAATAAATAATAATGCTTTGTTACTTTCCCTTGGAGAATACAAAAGATCTGTTTTTTATATAATCGTTCTTATTCTATAGTTCTTTATCTATATTTAAACCAACCTATCTTATGTTATTGTAAATATATACAGGGTGGTTGGCAACTAGTGGTACAAGCGGAAAGGGGGTGATTATACGCGAAAAAAGTCGAAAATATAGAATAAAAATTTTTTTGTTTAATTTTTTTAAAAATCTACAGTGAGATCCGTCATAACGAGACGTGATAAAGTGCACGCGTACCGAGCGAAAATTCAAAGTCGATTTTCTCGAAAACAAAGCCTCGAACGAAAAATTTTTATTCTATATTTTCGACTTTTTTTTTCGCGTAGCATCACCCCCTTTCGCATGTACCATCAGTTACCAACCACCCTGTATACATTATGTTTGGCTACAAGTGTAAAACAATTTAAGGGGTGACTCTTGAAGCTACAATAAGATGAAAATCAAGAATAAAAAAATTGTGTTTTCAGTATTGTTTTTAGTTATTGACAATTAAAAATTAGCCGAAATATCCCTGTGTGCGAAAAATCCTCCTTACATAACTGAAAATAGGTCAGTCTAAGCACCGGTGTGCACAGGGATATGGGTAGCAATTTGCCTCGTGCAAGTTGTACAGAAAATTATGACATTTGAAGACGTGGACCATCTTGCACGACGTTTTCTAAGAAAAATCGTAGATTAAACATTATACCTGTCTACTCATTAAAATTCATTACAGCATATCGACAGCTATTTCATTAGTATTTCTTCTAATCCAAAATAATTAATAACTAACAGCCCATAAACAATGTTTATACAAATTTGCTACACGCAACGCGATCGTCCCGTCCGCAAAAATCATTTGCGTTTTATTAATATATTAGTATTTTTTGGATTATCTTTTATCCTTTATATCAAGCTTTTATATGTGATTCATTTGCAAATAATTGTAATTAATATGAGTTATTAATCGTTTTAAGTATGACCATTCAAGAAGATTTTGTAGTCAATGAAAATTTTGAAATACGTTTCACAGATCTAAATGTTCCAATTTAATTATTGTTAAAAATATGTTTAAGAAATTTGTCATTAACTGATTTGCGATTATCATAAGAAGTGTTTCACAGTAACTTTGAAAATGTCGATTCCAAAGTTGTAAATGTTCGAAAATGAAATGTTAAAAAAATAAGATTCTAATAATATATTTCTTATATGTTTTAGAACCAAAGTACATGAAACGTTTATAACGACTCATACATATTTAAAAGTCTCTGTCTAAACAGTTATTTTCAGTCCTTCATATATGAATATTATAGATGAATATCTCTAAAAAAACGTGTATTCTCGGTACTTAAACTCATGTTGATCACGGTATATAGCCTTATTTATAAGAAATACAATTTGCAAAAGCGCTACAAGATACTGAATTTGTTTCATAGAGAAATTATTATAAATATAGATTCTTCGTTTCACTCATAATTGATGTAGTATGATTGTCTCTACGGTTTCGCAAAACTTAAAAAAAGCTCGTGTTATATCTCGATTAAGTGATCACGAGTAATCTTATTTCGCGATCCTTTATTCAAAAATTATTATTCATACCTTTTTATGTAATAATTCGAAGAATTGGTATGTTTCCTAACATTGAGGTATTCTGGATATATCAGAAATAAGAGTTTGAGATAGATATTAAGGTTACATTTTGTTTTTATTCGATAGTTGCAAACATGCTTGGTAACTTCAGTATTGCTCTGACCTACGACCTCTTCATTACGCTAGGATTGATCACCGCTGTACCTGTATCTGCTGGTACGGTAAAAATGAGACATTAATTGAGCTAATATCTATAATTACTCAATAATTATGTAATATTATGGTGTTACAGCATTGGATGTTCTTTTATACGGAGCCCATTTCATGGGGATGAAATTGGCAGGAATGATTTTTATAGCAGTCGGCTTCTTTCTCGTGATGTTTCCAGATAATTGGCCAGATTATATAACCAGGCTGCTTCGGTATGCACTTTAAATATATTTCTTAAACGTAATTTTATGGTATGTTTATTACTTCTAAGTGAATTTTTTTCTTAGTCTTTAGTTTTTGTAGATATTCTAAGCGTCCTATGTTTGCTACCTTCTTACATCCACGTGTGCGCACGTGTATGTGTATGTATAATATGTATACATACATACACGTATTTATATATTTCTTCTTTCCACTTTTGCAAGGATATTAAAATGTCATTTATCTTGTTTTGCACCATCATAGAGGCAGCGTGTAGTCTCACTGATGTAGGATATGCTTGATATATAAAAGTGGCCTATATAAATATCTATCTTTCTCTTATTCACTTCTGTATTTGAATCTTTTTAAAGCATATTAAAGTTCATATGTTTCTTTCTGGAAACAGCTTTTATGACAAAAATTCAAAGGCAATCTATTTTTTAATTATGTATGTAAATATATATTTGTACATAACATGAATATTATGCATAAAATTATCACGTGTAGTGCTTCTTCGCATCACATTGACTCTACCAATAATTTAAAGATATTTAGAAATATTTATAAATAATATATTTTCTACATCGAAATTTTCTATTACGTTACATCCTTAATGAAGATCACTTCTTATTCTTTTCTTAAAAATATATCGCAATACTATACTTGCGTACATATGCGTAAGTAAATTCGAAAGATTGATTCGATTAATCGAAATGGTTATATCGCTTAATCAAAATATCAATTGAACATTTGATAGTCCGTTCAATGGTTTTATATTTTTGCTGTGTAGATACAGATCTAAGCAAACTGTAGAATATTTTCTTTGCCATTTAGAGGTACAAACTTTTGTGTTTCATGAATTGATAAAAATAAAAAATAGTACTCATATTATTTTACAGGATGCCGGAAATATGCAACAGGTTTAAAGTATAATTAAATGAATATTTTTTTATATTTAAGAAATAAATCATGATTACATGAAACATCAAATATATTGTATTAGTCGTTATTTATGTAAGATGATATACTTACATGTAACAAGTTTCAAAGTCATTCATGCAATTAAGTAAAATATGCTGTCTCGTTCACGCAGTTTTTAAATATGTAAATACGAATTATAGAAATTATATAGTATTGTAGTTAGTATTTAGAATATGTTACCATATTAATCCTATCAAAAATTATTTAGAGGGCCGTTCCATTTGTTTCCAATTCAATGAACAATTTATTAAGAATAGATTCTATTTTTAATGTGAACAATGATAAGTAATGAATAGCCACTAATACAGTAATTTAATAAAATTAAGATATACATACAACGATATATGATCTTCCAGAAAACAGTCATCTATTAACTAGTTGCAGACTAGTTAATAGTATTTTATTAATAGTATGTCGACGACTTTTCAATTCTATTGCCAAAAACACTTGAAAGTATAAACTATTTCCTTAAAACACGTTGACGCCGGCGCCCGAATTCACTGTCTGCTTCGTGGGGCGGCGCTGGGTCACTACCCATTTTGTGAAATACATGTGTGACCCATCGCCGACCCTCGGGACAGACACGTGTGACCCGCCGATGGCGCACGCCGGCGTCAACGAGTTAAAGAGATAAGTAACTAAACATTTAATCAATGAAAGTCAATAACATGTACCAGGTCACATTTTAGCAGCTATATTTTCGTACAAATCTATATTTTTTTGTCATTATGCAATATACATTGGATTATTGAGTTTGATACGTCAAAAACAAATAACATCTACATTATATGAATTGTGAAAAATTGGCATATATAAAAGTTGTATGTGTGTGCTAATAAAAAAGACGGACGTATTTACTTGTCTTATAGAGGAGATGCTTAAACAATTTTAAAGTTAATTTACTTTTATATTTTTAAATGCAATGTTGTATTTTTTATGTTAAAATTTGGAAATATATGTACTGGGTATATCTTCTAAGATTAACTGCCATTTTTTAGGCATTTCTGATAATTTGCCAATGAAATGTTTTGAACAAAAGTTAGTCAGTTTTCGATCCTCTCCAAAAAAATTTTCCCGATAAAAAGTCAAGATCATCTTGGCTTTCTTAAATGACACCACATATTTTCGACTTCCCACAGTTGTACCTGACGCCAAAACAAATTCAACGATTTGCTACACTAGGATCCATGAAATGATCTTGAATTCTGAAATTTAAGTTTGATCATCATTAATATGGAAAATTATCTTATTTCGACCAAATTACGTATTTAAATACATATATGTACATACATATATTTGATGCTTGTATTATAGACAAATTTAGCGGTTCTATAGATATATACAATGTGTTCGGCTACAGATGTAAAAAAGTTGCAAAAATTGTTTATATGTGGCATTATTTATTAATTACTTATGGAAGCAATGGTTTAAAGGAAACATTAATCCTCTTTACTTAAAAATTTTATAAGGCGGTTTTCGAAATGCTGTTATGAATTTTAATGAGTGGACAGGTATAATGTCTAATCTACGATTTTTCTTAGGAAACATCGTGCAAGATGCTTTACTTCTTCAAATGTTATAATCTTCTCTACTACTTGTATGAAATAAGTTGCTATCCATATATCGCACGAATTGAGGATCCCTATACACACCGATGTTTGAACTGACCTATTTTCGGTCGTGTAAGATTTTCTCGCACACAGAAATATTTCGGCTAATTTTTAATTGTCAATAACTAAAAACAAAACTGAAAAAAACAATTTTTTTTATTCTTGATTTTTATCTTATTTTAGCTTCAAGAATCGCTCCTTAAATTTGTTTGTTTTAAATTTGCATCTCTAGCCGAACACCCGTATAGGTTACACATAGGTTATAGGTTACATATAGCTGCGGGAAATAACATACTTGTAGTGTTCAGGAAAAATTCAAGGAAAATTTCAGGAAAAATCTCTTATTGGGTAAAGAGAGCTTAGAATTAGATCATTTAGAGAATAATAAAAAACAATGTTGCATTTTTTGTAAATCTTATGATATAATATTTATTTATATTATGGAATAATTTATTAGTTGTACACCAGTCCTTGAGCCTATACATATATGTAGGTCTTGTTGAATTAATAGAGTAGATATAAGATGGATTATCGGTGCTATGGAAGATCTCTAATTCATCAGCATAAAGAAGGTATTTACAAAGTTATGAACTTCAGATATATCACTTATAAATAAATTAAATAGAAATGGGGCTAGATGGGAGCCCTGGAAAATACCAGAGTTAATCTTGATAATTCTAAAAAAGAAGTTATTAAATTTGACTATTTGAATCCTAGTCCTAATGAAGCTCCTAAATCGCGAGAGTAGATCCCCAAAGATGTTCAAGTACCTAAGTAATTGTACCTAATTAAGTAATTGTAATTTAGTCGTGAGAATTGAGTTGCTAGCGGTATTGAAAGCTTTACGAAAATCGGTATAAATCGGATCGACCTATGTGCCTTTATCTACATGATCAGCCAGCTACTGACAGTACTCCACCAAATTAGTTTTAATCGAACGTTTGTTAGTGTTCATATTGTTGATTGATAATTATATTTCTACAAAAATAATATAACTTATGGGTCGCCAATCTTTCCAAGATTTTAGACATGATTTTGAATGCTAATAGGTGTAAAATTTTTAACATAGGTAAGATTATCATTTTTAGGTATAGATTTAAATAATACATTTAAATAATTTCCATGTCTCAGGAAAAATTCCTGAAGATAGGGATTTATTGAAAATAATCCAACGAATCCTGGACATAATGAATTTGCAGCATTTAATAAGTAGAGAATGGCTATCCATCAGAACCTGAGTTACAATTAGTGTCAATATCATTCGTGCTATCAAATTTTGATCTTTTCTTCAGTTATTATTGATTTTATTACATTAACTTTCACATTAAGAAAATTGTGAACCGAATTAGACTAAATTATCACATTACTATTATATTATATTATATCATTTGTTGAATATGATCAACTCACACATAGATAATAGGTATATATATATGTGTCGGAGTCAGGTTGGCATTTTGGGGTGTTCGATGAACCTTTACTTACTCTACCGTTGCGGACGTAGCTAATATTTCTCGGTACAAATGTGGGCTCTACAAGAGGCTATGAGTAATAGCGGCGATAGGATGGTCGAGATGATGGTGACAACGAATTCAGGTTCGATAACGAATCCACGGTCCACGGGAGGACAAGTATCAACGTAATACTCGATTCGGGTAACTTCTCGATAACATACTCGCAACGTAATACTCGATTCGGGTAACTTCTCGATAACTCAATCAGCAATTCGTCCAACGATTAACTAACCAACTAACTGACTGCCCCTTGATCCAAAAGAAACTGCCCTTATATACTCCTGTCCCCACTTCTCGGGGCAATCTTTGTTTTTGAGGAGAGTCATATAATCATTTCATACCTCTGTCAGGTACACGTCCATCCCGTGACCGTGGCTACGTCTGGTGACCCGCTATGTCACTTCGAGCCCGAACCCATCGTCATAAAGTCAGATTGGAACATTAAAACTATTTCTTATTTTTATTACTTAAGTGTAGCTATAGTAAAAGTCTGGACTAGGGTATTGGGGTTTTTGCCCACATTCCGGACCGGAAATCCCGATGTTCTTTCATCTCCGACATATGTATATTGGAATCCCTTTGTTCCAGAATAGAACCTCTTTATTTGAATTTGTAAAGAATTCGTATCTGTAACATACACAATTACACTTTATACTATTTTCTTTCTGATACTATATTATTCAGCATTATCGTTAATTTAAATAACTAATCTACTTTTATATAAACAATAGCACCATCTTTGTGTACTCACGTTGACTACAAATTTAAAAATCCATAAAAATATATGAATATTTATTCTATATTATGAACAATTTTTCTTCATGAAGCAAGATTAATCTTCATATTTTTTTTACACGTTTACTTATTGTTCGAAGAAAAAGCTGTTGACTCAAGATTATACCATTTTTGATATCTTTTCACTCGTTTTCAACCAATTTTCAGTGTATATCCGTCAGAAACATAACAAAGTCTGTATCTTTTTCTTGAGAAGTAACACTACATAAACAAAAGTACATCAAACCAATAACTATTATTGCTATATCACGATCGCGACTTTATCTTTAAATTGATGAATCAATGAACTAGCTTGCATTTGTGAAGTTTTGTATAAATATATGTCGGATTAACACTGGGAGTAAGGTTGTGGGTGGCAGATGATCTCCGCGGGAATTAGCCATTGATGCGGTACAACACAGGTGTAGTTTATTGCAATAATGGGGTTGTTACAATCTTGACATTTAATCGCGAAGCTAGTGACAATGGCCTCAGGTTCGTTAACGAATCCACGGTCAACGGAATGACGAATGCGATGCGTTACACGTATCTCCACGTACAAGTAAACTTATCTGCAAGAACTCCAACCCCAAATCCAAGTGGAACTGCCCTTATATATTCTTGTCCCCACCTCTCGGGTAAGTCTTGGTTTTTAAGGAGATCCATATAATCATTCCATACCTCTGTCAGGTACACGTCCCTCCCGTGACCGTGGCTACGTCCAGTGATCCGCTATGTCACTTCGAGCCCAAACCCATCGTCATAAAGCCAGATTGGAACATTAAAACTATTTCTTATTGTTATTCCCAACATTCCAGACGGGAAGTCCCGATGTCCTTTCATCTCCGACATATACATATGTGTTGATGCCATCAAATACTAAATGCCATTAAATAGTATATTCTGAAGAAATAAAAATAAGATGGAATCTTTCTATATATGTACATTGTACATGTATGTTTTTTTATAGATCTATACAACTGTATTTTATTATTTCTTTTCTTATAATTAATCCCTATTTTTACTTATGAGGATTTTCGTCAATGGAGTTTTTAATTTTTTTGGAAGAATAGTGTACAGTACGTTATATGATTGAATTATCAATTCAAAACTCATTTAACTTGATTTTTTAAGATTTGTCCAAATTAGTTCTTCAGTATACTTAAACGTACTGCTCTATATACGCAGTATTATAATTTTATTGTCTTTGTCTTTTTCTAATGAAAAGTATAGAATGCAGAAAGCCATTTACCAAAAAGGATATTAAATTTATTCCATTCAATATGCCAATATTCCACAATGTATCACCGTAACCATATGTGAAAAGCATCTATTGTATTTATAAGCATATCTTGATTGTCTGCATAGGAATAATGAAAAAGTTCGATTCAATTTTGCATAAAATTTTATACGAACAGTTCAGGAAAGTGCTTTGTGGACAATATTGCCTTAACGTATTTTTGATAAAATTTATTAAAAAAACATGAACAAACATTTTACATTTGTTAAAGTTGAATATCCTGTTAAATGAAAAACAGAAGGATTAATTATTTTCATATCTGTTATAAATATATATAGGGTGATTGGTGGAAATATATATAGGGCTGGTGGTACAAGCGGAAAGAAGGTGAATCTACGCGAAAAAAAGAAATCGAAAATATAGAATAAAAATTTTTCGTTTGAGGCTTTGTTTTCGAGAAAATCGACTTTGAATTTTCGCTCGGTACGCGTGCATTTTATCACGTCTCGTTATAACGGATCTCACTGTAAATCGTTGTCTCGTTGGAAAAATTAAAAAAAAAAAAAATTTTTATTCTATATTTTCGATTTCTTTTTTCGCGTAGAATTATCCCTTTCCGTTTGTACCACCAGTTACCAACCACCCTGTATAGAGGCTGATTCATAAATGTTTGTCAATACTCCATGGAGTAAATCTACACATGAAGATAAATACAAAATGTCTTATGAACATATGCCCTAAATACTTTAAATTTCGAAGTATGGATGTTTAAAGAAATTGTTCGAAGTATCCACCTCTTACCTCAACACATGCTGTTGCATGTCTTTTAATGTTTGAGTCCCAAACAGCACGATCGCGCTGTATAGCTTTTGTGTCGAAAAGTCCCGGTACATTTGAACATTACGGACGACTGACGGTATTTTGTATTTCATTGTTATCTTCTCAATAATTTCTATTAAACAAGACTTGAAATATTTATAAACTAATAGCACTTATATATAATAATATAGATGTATTTCATAAAAATAACAAATATGACGAGCGCTATTGCGCCGCTAGTTTCTCTTCGCAATCGATTAAGACAAACGCTATCGCGCTGTTCGGGATTTTTCGATCCTGTTTTTTCAAAGACTCCTGGAACTCAAACGGTTAATAATGAGTTTCGTAGTCATTCGAAAGAATACCAGATATTCTTCGAGTAGTTTCAAATCCATTTTGTATTTTTTCTTGCCGATCTTGTACATTGTTCACTTGCGTTGAATATACCATAGATTTTAAATGGCCCCAAAAACAAAAACCTAAGTGGATTTAGATCATGGTAGCTATATAATGGATCTATCTTACCCTATCCGTCGGTTTGCGAAGACGTTGTTAACACTTTCTTTAATTATTTGTAACTCGAAAACTAAGGACGTAAGACATATGTCCATAGGGACGTTTTTTACTTATTTTCCTGTGTTTCTACATTACCTTCTTGAAATATTGACATGCATTTATAAATCACTCTGTACATATACGAGTATATCTGTTCGTAGTATTAAAAAGGAGAAAGTGGTAATTAATTAGAAACCGTTTCTTTCCAACTATTCATATTTGATTTCGCATTTTCTCATTTCTTTTTCGTTCTCTCAGTTTATTACATGTCAAAATATCTTTAATATCATATCTTTTGCTTTCTGCCTCATTTATACTTTAATCTCTCAATTATCAGAAATAGCGATGATGAGAAAATAATATAAAAATATGAAAAAATAATGTAACTCCAAGTATATTTTTCACGATTACTTTTTGTTTACTTGTTCTACATATAAACATATTTCTTACTAAGAAAATTCACGAGAAATATTGATTCTACGTTCAAGCTTTTGAATTGCACTAAAAAATTGTTGACAACTTAAGAATATGAAAAATTTGTTGTTGGGTGTATTTAAAATATGTGTATAAATTTCAGAATCTTTATATATTTTTAAAGAATTTAATTATTACGAAAGAAACTTTAATTTTGTATTACGTTAAAATTGCCGACGCAGATTTCATCAATATGATTTCCACTGATACAAATTCACCAAAACCAGTCTTGATCGATGTATGCTTTCTATCAATTATACACTATCAATAACGCATGACGATAAATAAGTTAAAGGTAAGTAAATGGAAACATTCGAAAAAAGCAAGAAGGATGAGAACAAATCTTTAATAAAATAAATTGAAACGTAATGCTATAATATTTATATAGAAATATAAAATATAGATATTCTTTTATTTGTACATATTTAAAAAATAAAGATACAGATTTTTAATTAGTTAGGTTTGGGTTCGGTTAGGTTGTGGTGAACTTAATGGAGATGGAGGGCGACAGCGGGCATAGCGATGTTGACTAGGGTGAAAATGGAGGGTGAGAGGAAGAAATAATCCAAGAAATAATCTGCTTTTACAAATGCAAATGGAGGGAGAGGCAGGATTGGCGGTGGTTGTTGAAGCACCAGCAAAACAGAAGGGAAATGGGTGATTAGCGTAAACAGCAAAGCAGTAACTATGGTTATGGATGGGAGCATAAAGGTGGATAAAATGGAAAGAAAGAGGAGGCTGTAATAGTAGGGAACATAAAAGGGGTGATTATAGCGATTAGCTATTTTTCACCGATTACAAGGGTTCATGAGTTCAGCGAATATTGGAAGAAAGTGGTGGATTACATGAGGTGGTTTAAGGGAATAGGGATACGGATTGCTGAAGGCAATTTTTGCTCTTTACTGCTCATACCCACACATGGGGATGTGCGAGGTGACAGAAGGAAATGGTAGAGAAGCCAATTAGCTCAGAAGACTGGATATGTCTGAATGAGGGTAAGGCATCTTGGCAGACGGCCAGCCTGCGTTCCCACAGGGAAGTTGTATCAATTAGAAGCTTGCCGGTTCCAAGTCTGGCTGAGAAAGGCGGAGAAGCCAAAATCCCAAATGCCATTGCCAAAACATTAGGATCCTTATAACCTAATGCAAAGACATTTACAAATTAATGTAAGGTCTTATATTACTTAACGTTGTCGGTTAAATATTATTATCAATCAAATTATTGTTGGTCGGAGCTATTGTCGATCAAGATTGGTGTTGATGAATCATGTCGGTGAAACCTTTGAAGAAACCTATGTCGGGGATTTTAACGTAATCCTTTAATTTTCATTGATATTCAATTGTAACAATATATATTTCGACATTTCTTTTCTTATTTTATTTCAACTTTTAATCTGTACATTTATACAGTCACAGTTTATTATTAATGCTATTTTCAATATGAATCAAAACATTTAATCACATAAGAAATACAACAAAATTGCTTGAGCTGCTTGTTGTGTTGTGTGTGAATCGACGTCAACACTTCATCACTCGCTTCCAAACAATCAGGATCCATTATATGCTGTTACAGAAATATAGTCCTCATGAGTCACAGTTCGAGGTAAGAAAATACATCGCCTTCGTTTTATGTTACTTACGTCGAAAATTCATCTGTTTATTTTATCTCAATGTCACAAGTTTACAATTTAGTAACATAAATCATAATTGCTGCACACTATCGACAATAATTAAAATAATAAATTAATAATACCAGATTTATTGCTAAAATAGATGTTTCATTCAATTATAGTGTATAAATATTTATCTCTTCCGAAAACATTCGTGCTCCGATTTGGACCAAAACTTTTGAAATATGTAGGTTCCATTTAGATAAAAACAATGTTTAGGAGAAGAATGTTTGGCAACTCGAAGGTAAGACACCTTTTTAACATTTTTTTATTTTTCTTCTATAATATATATCGGCCTATATATCTATGTATGCACGATGGATGATGTTTACATTGCACGTTGGTTACATTGCTTATGGTTACTTCAGTTTGTAATTCAGGGTTAATTCGTCGGTAACGAATAGTGAAAATAAGTACAAATGTATTTCGCAAATATCTCTAAAATGTTGCATCGCATTAATTTATTTTCTCTCGCCAAGAAATTGAGTAATCATTGAATAACAGTCGAGTGGCTAAAGAAACATACAATTAATTCTAAGTGAAAAATGGTGTGCAGACCATAAGAAAAAAATGATTTATGTCGAAATATGAGCAAGTTTCAGTTATGTTTAGGAAAAATGGAAAAGTGTTTCAATTTACGAGACGCTAAAAATCCTCCTTTTAAACATTTTTTTTTACTTACGAAGAATCTACTTTCAAAATTTCCATCGTATCGGAGCATGGACATTTTCGGAAGTTTCGGCCTTATGTCTAACTAATGGAAAAGTTACAATCATTTAACCCTTTGGATTTCTGGATATTTTAAATTTACAGCACAATCTTTAGCGTTTTCAGATGAATTTTCTTTTCTAAGTGACAAAAAAAATGAAAAATAAAAAATATGAAAAAATGCATGCCTTGTTGCATGCCGTGACAGTTTTAATCTTTATGTTTGTGCGTGTGTGTGTATGTGTGTAAAACCAATTATTTTTTAAGGCATTTGCTTCTTTTAACTAAAAAGCATGCCGTGCACACTTGCTTCTGTATATATAGTAAATCTTAATGTTCACACTAATCCTAATGTATCATATATTTTATTAAACGTGTCCTTTGATAATAAAAGGTGATGTAAATAGATCAATTGCAAGTTCAATTTTTGTTTCGCGTATAACCAAAACAAAATTGTGCATCGTAAGTGCGCTGTAAATTGATACCATTCTGCAATATTTTCCGACACTATACAAATTCTAATGTTCATTGTACGCCAATCAATATTTTATCATGACAATGAATATTTTAATCGACGCAGAAATTCTAAGGATATAAATTGCACTGAAAATCTATCAATGTTGCGATCATTTGTCCTATATTATACGTACAGTATCTTTTTGCCATTAATGAATGTGTCAACAATTCGTACAAATGTTTGTGCATATTTATAATTACGTAATTGTGATGTAATTAGCGGAAATACATCGAGTAACATTAGAAATAAACAAAGCATACAGTATTTTACGTATAATTAGCACGTGATTGTGATTCAAAAGTATGCGAGAAATATAGAAAAGAATAAATATTAAAATAAAATAAGTATTAGAGAAAAGTTCGAATTTCTGCGACGACAATTAATTTCAACCCGTACAATGATAAATCATGGAAAAGAGCAAAGAGTCAGGTAGCTTAACGAACGCGTATAGTTTGATCTAATGATACGTACGAGTTGAATAGAAAATAAGAAAATGCCGCTACGTCAGAGAAATACCAAGGCAAAGGCCAAATGCTGTCGAAAGAAGTCGTGTACAGGTCCTTGCAGGAAATAATGAAAATACTGATGATAGCCTGGGATTAATATACGCAGTACCACGGGTGGGCAGCAACGCAGGAGTACTTTTGCTAGAGGCCGCTGTCCCTCAATGCAACAACGGCAGTATCGGCTGCGAAGTTACGGTGTGCCGTCGACTCATGGCGATGGTCAAATGTTACTACCAATGAACAACAGTAACAGCAGTCAAGTTAACAGCAACCAGTCAAGCAGCGAACCACCGATGACAACGACCGCGAATCTGACACATCGGCATATTAACTCATCCCAGCAGAACAACACGGCTTCCGAATCCCAACGTCGCCGAGTCCCTATTTCCATCACGACCTCAACCTTGACTCCGATTTCAACTTCCATCACAACGACTATCTCGACTTCGACCTCGACCTCAACCTCGATCACAACCTCGATCACGACGAATAGTTATCAACGTTCCCATCCTCCTGGCCTTCAGAACTAATTTCAAGGTATGGCTGAATATCAAAGCCGCGACTCGAGGTTCTGCGCTTACGTGCATACGATATATCTACTCAAAAAAGTTGCTAAACTTGTTTTCAAAGTCAATTTCACTGATTGATCTTTCTCTTTCCATTTTTTTTTTTGTTTTTTACGTACCATCGTTATAAAAAATAAACTGAAATTATATATTGCAATTAAAAATAATTCGCAATATTCTACAAGAAAGTCACAGCACATAATTATTAATATTATTTCTTAAAAATTGTGTTAAATAAGAACAAGCAGTAATTATATAACTTTCCATAATTAGTGTAATTAATAGACATCAAACTTTACACGTCATAGTACAGATAAATAATTATAAATTATAGAATGTCTGAAGTAAGAAGCGTATCAATTTTTCATTCTGAACGGTCTGCCCAATACCCAATTGATACTAATTTAACAAAAAGTTAGCCATACACATATTTTTTATTATTTCATAAAAGAATCATTATTCCGAGAACAATGGAAATAACACATATTAATTTATGCTTACCACTCTTATTTTCAGATTATAGGAAATTGTAAATATATGTTTTGCAAAAATTTTTCTCGACCATTTCTAACGTAAAATATGTTGTTAACTATGAATGTTTACAAAGACAAATTTTTAAAATGAGATAGCAGACGATGTTGACGATATCACATTATAGTTGGCGAGATCAGCTTTTTCGTATTAAAATTATCGTGTTAATGTTATGAAAAAGTGATTGAAGAAGTTACGAGGTTTGATATTATGCTTGGCAAATTATTTTTGTATTCAAATCATCGATCATTTACATAGAATCACATATTTTCAGTCATATAAATTTATAAATGTAAATTCAATAATCTGAACAATATAACCTCCAATTAGGTTATATTATCTTAACACATAGGTCGCTTAGGTAGAGAAGACAGAAGAGAATATTAACTTTCGATGTAGCAAGTCAAAATTCTATAAATTTTGCACATTTATGTAAAAAGCTCAAGTTTTGATCGTAGAAAAAGCAAAATAGAACAATAACAAGGAAATGCACTCATATTTTGAAGACATAAAGTATGATACGCTTCCATCTAAAAGTGCAGCCTCGTTTAAAAACTGATAATTACTAAATGCATCTAAATTTAGAAGACTTGGAAGAAGGAAAAGATCAACGAAGTATTATATTTTAATAAACATTGTTTTCACTGAAAAAACAAATTAGATGAAAATGTACGTGAAAAGAGCATTTTTGCATTACATACTTTACTCCATGAAAAGGTTTAATTAATCAAACTTACGTGTCTATAGGGTAATCAGTAAACAAGTGTTACGACCACCATAACGCAATTCTACATACACCTTCGGATCGGCTGAGATTTGTTAAAAAGTATTGCTGCGAGATTGAAATTGAAGATCAAATTTTTGCTTTGCTTGTGTCGTAGTATTTTACACGTCACGGGAATCAAACTTGTCAAAGAAACCACGAGTCGTAACAGTTTATTTAAAAAATAATGTTAAGTTTTCATTGATTCATACATTGACATTTACAATACGTTTACAATTCGCAGTCAGGTAAAAAGTAAATAACGTGATATATTAATAAGGAAATTGGTAATTATCTCTTAGCATGTGAGATAGTCCATTTTAAATAGAATGGAGTACCTAACTCCATAATTTCAAATACATATTACAAAAATAGTCACTGTATGAAAAGACCTTTCAAACAAGAATCGAATAGCGTTGAGGAAGACACGATTCACGAAGAACACGTAGAGGGCATATTAGAAACACCGATATTATTATTTTTTTTTAATATTTATTAAAATTACAATCAATTCTCGTGTTGAGAATTTTCAGTAATTTTTTTGGCGTGGCGCAGTAACATGGCTAATTATTTATAATAAGTTAATACTTATTATAGATAAGTATAATTTGTACGTAAGTATTGTAAATAAGTAGATGTTACTTAATTTAAATAACTAGTTGAATCTGTCGTTTAGGTCTAGCGGATAGTGTCTCTTCAGCCTGCGGATCTGGTCCGTCGTATCAAGTAGTCCAGTAATTAGGGGGTTTCGGTGTTTGTTGACTCTTTTGCTATATCTGTCGCTATATTTTGCTATTTCCTCTTTGACTGTGGGTATCTTGAGGTCGCGGTGTACCGATATTATGTGTTTGTATTTAGGGTGGACTATTTCACGTACTAAAGAATAATTTCCTGTTTCCTCATTAATATTACGCTATTCACTTTCTATCTAGCTGCTAAATATAGACAAATTGTAAATAATGTCAATGGTACCTTACCATCATCTTTCAAAAAGGCGGGTTGAGTTACGATTTATGGTTTCTTAGACTAGTTTGGTTCTCATGACGAGTAGAATTCTCAACGCGAGAATTGATTGTAATTTCAACAAATAAATAAAAAAAAAAAAAATGACGAGTAGAATACGATACAAGCAAACCTCCAAATCTCTATCGATCCATGGTGGTGATTGCGAATACAATCAAGAATAAAAGATGATTAATCTGGTTTAAACTTTGATGCCAAAATCGTTTCAGGGTCATATTGCTATAACAAGGTGAATTGAATATCTTAAATAATAGAAAAGTAAATAATTCTATATAAAAGAATAATAAGAGATTTTGCATCTAAAAAAAAAATTTAATCTCCACAAGAATAATTTGACAACCATAATATTCGTCCCCAGCGAATCCTATCTTTTCCTGTTTAAAAATTTGTTTATATTAATAAAAATCAGGGACATTTTGTGTAATCATGTTAATATGTTTCATCTTGTATGTTAAATATATCGTATTCTTTTAATATGAAGTATAACGTATAAATCATTTAACTTGACAACTTCAAATTACTTGCAATCTGCTCGTTGTATTATAATAACATAATGATATTGCAGTACATGGTATACATATTTGAATATAATTAATTTTTAACTATTCGATCAGTTTTCGGGGCTTAATTGATATACCAATCTAAAATGATTTCAATAATTTTTCAATATTTCTGTATTTTTTTGTTATTGGGTGGGTAACGACTGTATTGTCGGGGCATGATTCTGAGCAAGTTTTTCCTTACATATAAGTGGCGAACGGTCCTACTTTCTCAGCCGGTAATGCGTACATTGTTCCGGATGCACAATTATAGGCAGAATTCAACGTAATAGTATCGGCAATTTTTTGCGAATATCTCGAGAACTACATATTTATGATTATATGTATTGAGATTATACGTATCATGTGTACACCAGGAAAAAGTTGTTGTTGAGGAATCGTGCCCCCGATAACATACTAAGAAAATCATTGAAGTCACTCTATGTTGGTATATCAAATAGTAGCTGAATTTTTTTATTACTTTTACCTTGTTATTCAAATTAAGAAAATGTTTATTCACTCATTGTTAATTTACGTATGTCAATATACATATGTGTGTAGATACATTAATGCATTATATACGTTAATCCTGTGCTCTGAACACTAAATTAAATTTCATGAAATAAGTTAAAGATGCTTTTAACTTTGCGATAAATCCTGCGCAAATTCCAATGTTCAAACTTATTGTTAGACAAACTCTATACATTTTTTGTTCTCAGAAAGCCATCCACGTTTCACCTGTCACGGTATCAAGATCTGCATGGGAGAAACCTTGAATATCGTACACAGTTTTGTCGGTGGTTTCATTTATCAAATTAATATTTATTTGTTAGTATGTAGTTTGACATATTACTCAAAATGTAACGTGTTTTATAAGTTATGATATTTTGGCTTTCGTGCATTCGTCTTTCAGTTGGCTTTGATACTTCTTTCGTGTTTGTCCGAAAACTAGGAATTTTATTGAAAAAATAAACAATATCGTAATTTATGTATCGAAACTTGTTTCGTTTATAGGTATAATTTATATTAAAACGAGTTTATCATGCAATGAAAAGCTGTAAGTACTTTAATGTTGTCGAGTTAGATAAAAATTATTTTGTGTAATATAAATTCAAACAATTAATAATCAAAATGACTTCCTAGAATTTTATCGAATAATGATGTACGTACCCTTATATGTATCTATTATACATGCCTTATACATATAGGTAGTACATATCGTTAATTTTGAAATGCTAGTTTCTGGAAATGATAGTTTCTGTTTTTATGAAAATTCCTACTTAGTATACGCAATATGCCTGGCATTTAGGAATGAGTGGAAACTTTTTCCCGTAGTTAATAGATAACTTTGTTATATAGCCTCTTTTTGATCCTATTCCTTAATGTATTATTCATTTATATGTATGTAAATCATTTTATGGAATGAAGCATCGTGACTAATGTCATGCTGCTTGACGTTACGCGTAAAAATTTTCTGTCTTTGGTTTAGTATAATGTAACGTATTATTAAGATTTGCGGACTTTTCCATAAAATGTATCGAGATACAACTGTACGTATATATTTCTTCTAAAATTTCGTTACGTTGATCACTTTGAACTTTAAATGAAAACTAAAAAAATATGATTTCACAGAAGTTTAAATTGCATATATTATATTTAATCCATTATATACAAGTTATACCAGGAAAGAATATTAAAACTTTACCAGTTAACTCAGAGGGTAATACTTAATAGAAAATGCCAGATAGAGATATCTTGCAAAATCAAATACAATACATTCGATATGAATACCATCCAAAAACGTTAATTCTTTGCGATTTCGTTATGTTTTCATAATTCAAATGTATCCTTTATTAATTAGCCAAATATGATTTTTATTTTCATTCTATCCTTGGAAATAAAGATCTTTCCTAAGCACAATTGTGTTAACTGTAGGGATTTTCTAAATCATATCTTACTTTTAGAGCATTTAAAATTTTTACAATTTTTATCGAGAAATAATGTTTAATGAAAGTACGATGATATTGATAAACAGTACAATTAATTGATTTTCATTGTCGTGTTCGTTTTCAAACATGTGTTGTTCGCGTGGAACCGAACTATGCTCGCAAAACGTTATTACGTGTAAGAGAAACAACACTTATATCAAAAAGTGAAATAATGTTTATTTCTGATTTTTAGGACTGACATAAAGACGTAATATGGCTAAAGATACAAAAGAGAATTATTTTTAAAGGTTAAAATGGATTCCTTAAAATAGCTTTAAGTAAAACGAGAACAGAAATCATATACTTATCAACAGATTCGAAGAGAAAATTTGTTTAAATCGATAGAATACTTCATTAATTATGGAACTGGAAGAATTTTGTACACTATTTTTTTCTCAATATCACGTTCTGAATTATCTTCGATGCATCGTGTATCGATATCACTACTCAGAATCTAGAAAATGATGTTATATGCAGGAACAAATAGAAAATAGAAGTAAAATTTCATTTTTATCAAATAGTACGATTTACTGTATTGTAGATTTCGATATAATTGTTTTCGGTCCACTTTCCCAAGTAAGGATAAGATACACAGTTATTTTTTGAAATTTGTTTCACCTGACTTACTCAAATCGCTACCATATCGTTGCAACATCATACATGCAATATCATGTATGTTTATATCTTTTTTACTTTCAATTATTGGATGCTTTTACTTTTTCATAGAATATTTCTCTGTTAGACTACTCTGACACTATAAAATGTCATCTAACTGTATAATGTGATATTACCCGTTATATTTAGTAAAGTTCTCAAACGTATGAAAAATTGACACACAAGTAAGTTAGACCTTTCGTGAGAGAGATTTACATTTAACAAGAAACTTATATGAATACATGCAGTTATTATTATCATAAGATACTTCTGTACATGAAGAAATAAGTAGACTTTTATGGAAATGTTTGAAATTTTGAGATACCGTTTACATATTTAATTCATCGTATATGTTCTTCTCTCTTTTTCATGGAAAAAACAGTCCGCAAATTTTAAAACAGAAATCATTTAAAGCTATCTCTGTAGAAATTTTCTACAATTTATGTTAACTTACAGGAATTCTTGTTATGATTAGAATCATATTTCATGTGAAATATTTTTCTGCTAGAAAATTTCTACAATTTAGCTACTTAATGTTGAAAAGAAAAAAAGAAATATATACTTGCATGCAGACAAAAATGCTAGTCTGAAAAACCTGCAGACATCTCGAATAATCTAAGATTTAATTGCAGATGGAGTAGAAGACACGGACACGGCGTATCAGGAGGCACGCAACGCGACGTGATCGATTATCGCACGGGTTACATAAAATCACACCTTCGTTCACCGTCGGGAAGAGTTCGGTGACTAGGTGTACTATCGCTTCAATTACAGGTAGAATTGATTTGCCAAAGAAATAATGTATGGACTTTCACAACGTTAACATTTTAATCGGAAAGGTCCCAAAGAATGAATGCCGGTAATAACAAATACGGTAAGCAATATCGGAAGGGATTCTTCGTTGCAATAAAAGTTCGTTCCAATTTTTTTTTTTATTGCATTTGTCTTTCAGAATACTAATAAAAGAAGTTAAAAGAAGCTATTATAAATTTTCTCTTTCAATAATTCTAAAATAAGTATGCATATATTTTTATTGAAAATCCTAAACCAAATAATGTTCAGATAAGTGATTCGGTAAATATTACCTTTTTTCTTCTCAAGCTGTACGACATTCTTCAACATATTATTTAGATTGTTTGTTTTTGATCAATTAATCCGTATTATTAAGCAAAGATTATAATTATGTGTAAAAGTGAATGGATCCAAATCGACAAAAGTTCTTATCGAAGCATTATAGCAAATCATATATTTTCTATTTGATAAGTATGGAATACCTTTAGAAAATTTGTTATAAAGAAACATCGTATTTGAGTTCAATAATATTTTTATCGACTTCGAATTTATTTTCAGTTATACAATTACTTCATATTTTTTTATAAAATTCAAATGTATTCATGATAAATCAGTTGATTTTAGTAATCAGTTTCAGTGCGTCTCAAACACTAATATTGAAAAATATTATATTTTACATGCAACGTTTTATCATTTTTCTCATTTATTTCTATATGGACGTGTCTGTTTCCGTCAATCCCTTGACGTGGACACGATCGTTGTACACCGAATAACTGTATGTTATCAGCTACGATGTACGAATCCGTGGGAATGAACTGAAGCGAACCTCTTGTTAATTCAATAATAACAAGCAAAGTTTGAACTTTAACAGAAACATGTGAGAATGAATATAGCACGTGTATATGCGTATATGTACGTTTCTTTTGACTGAGTGTATACCTATGTGTGTTTGATCGATGATTATTTTGAATATGTAAATGTTTAAGAATGTCTGTTTCGTACGAGGGTTGAAGGATGCTGTGTCGAAAGTTGAAACGTATCTGAACTACTCGAACGTTAGGAATGTCTCGATCTCGGCTCAATCTTTCACATTGCCGTAGCGCATCTTTCTCTGGCAAGGCTGAGGTGCTATCCGAAGTAATGAGAAGTATCCGGGTTTTGCGGAAATTGTGTTTTCCGGGTTTTCTTAGAAACTTGTATCCTTACAATATGCTTCCAAATTACCCTTTGGAAATACCGAATTTATAACATATCCGTGGCTATTGAGTGCGAAATAAATTAAAATTCTAAAGAGCGATTTGTCTATGACCTCCCTAGATTCCAGCTCAAAAGTAGCCCCCTGTATAATCGTTCTATAAGCTTTTCTGACAAAGACCTCGCGTGGCTCTTTTATGTGTTCCAGATAGAGCAATTTCTAAATATAGAAATAAGAATTATCAATCATGTATGTGCCACTTTGATCGATGACGTTATTTCATGTTTCTGGTAGTTGAAAGATCTTCCCCTTGTAGAATTCTTGAGACTTAGCGAAAAACTGACCTACGTGGTTTTAGCAGGAGTTGCCATTTCCTTCCTGAATTTTCGAAATCATTGCAGAAAAAACGGAAGAAAGAAAAGAAGTCAACTTTATGAAAATATCGATAATGTATAAAGATTAAGTAATAATTTCGCTTGTGATGCTTCAATTATTGATTTCGTTAGCATTTAACATTTTGGTGACTCTATATGACACTAAGAAGAGTATATAAACAATTTTATTAAAAATCTTTGTAACATTTTAACATAAAACATTTTAAGTACAGAGCACTTTATTTTGGCTACGATAAATATCTCAATCATTGAAAAATAAATGTGTCTTTTTATGGCATTCGAATAATCTACTATCTATTTTATATTTATTATTCTATTACAGAATAATGAAATTATTTAAAATAAATCTGTAAAAGTGTTAATTACGTAATAGATATATTCTGTAAACGTCAAATTGTATGCTTATGTAATACATTCAAAAGTTTGTAAGTACATTTTTTACGTGATATCACAATAATTATACAGCAATTATATGTTATATCTTATTAAATCTATCGTAAAGTAGGAAATTTTGCTTAATAATGCAAGTTATTTTCAGTTAGAGAAATATAATAATAAGAAACACTGTTGTGACAACACTGAATGGCTGAATAGAATTTTTATATCCAATTTTAAACGAAAAGAAATTTTATCGAAATAATTTTCTATAAAAAATGGCAACAACTTGTTTTACTTTACAAAATGGATTTTCTGTTAAATAAGTAAATTATGAGTTCCGTAAAGGATTATTATACAACAATATCGTTATTATACAAAAACAATTCATTCGAAAAAATACCGAAGGTTATTAATATATAACAGAATCATAATTGTAACAATTATAATATTAAAATTAAGAGTAGATTATAGGTTTGTTGATCGGAGAGCGAATAAATTTTAACTTGTATTTCAAGTAATAATGTCTTATGTAGAAATTACTATAAATAACTACTGTTAATATGTATTAATTAAATTATTATTAGTAACTACTTTAAATATTATAAAATTATTTAATTGTATCGTATTATCTTTTAAACAGATAAACTATTTTCATTAACGTCATATATTGAACTTTGATAAGCTAATTTGACTATAATAAAATTATATTCGATTAAAGTAATATTTTATTTAATTTTCTGGTATCTAAATAAACAAAGATTATGACATTAACCACCTAGTCAAGTGTCTAACTGATTTTCTAAATGTTGAGTGGAAAGCAAAGTTGGAAGTTAAAAAACATTTTCTTACAATTAGTGTCATATTTAGAAATTGGTTATTTAAATATGTATATTATTTGGTATTGGTTTGGATTCATAGCTTTTATAAGATATAAAAATACTTATGTGTTCGATGTAGACCGTACTAAAGTCTAGTTCAGATTCACATACAATTGCCGCAGAGAATCCGCTGAAAAATATATTTATACTAGTATATAAGTACTTATATACAAACATTGCATAGCGAAATCGTGCTACAGTCGCTTGGCGGACAATTTCTGTTAGTCTGGGCTAGGTTACATGAACCAGCGTACACACTCGTATATGGGATCGTCTAAATATCTGTAATGTATTACCTATATTTAAGCATGTGAAAAAATATGTGTATAGAAGGTATATTAGCTTCTTAAAAAGTTTTACATACTTTCAGAATAAAATATTTTTAGGTTAAACGATGGGAACACTATTACATTTCTGTTTATATTCTTTATATGAATGTAAAATAGGATTATGGGATAACCTTCGAATATCATAAAAATTGATCTTCAGAAAAATTATTTCTCTATCATTTTGTTTTTCTTTTTGAGCAATTTAATTTGCTCTAAATAGTTTCTTTATGTACTGATAATTAATCAATTAGAGATATTTACGTGACCCCATTGAAATGCTCTACTTGGTACACACATATAATACAGTATGTTTTGTCTTTTTTTAACAGTATAATCGAAGAACGAAGTTACTTATGCGAAAATTGTTTGATTTGAAAGAGAAAATAACGTAGTACTTCTAAATCTTACAATCTTGTTAATTGGATCGGATGGAACATCGTAGATTACTTTTGTTCTTTTGCATTAAAAATATCATAGCATGAAAATTCAAATTACATTGCATTCATGTTGTACTGTACTTTAAAATGAATTTAATCAGTTAAACTTAAACAGTACTTATTTATTATCAATTGTATCGTTATTAATTGACGTTCAAGTAATATAATAAAAATAAAACAACGCTGGTAGAAAATATTTATAATTCATCATATAAATCATTATTTAAGTTTATCGTTAGATTTCTTCAAATAAAACATTTTGAATGCTGGATTCTTAAAGTATTATCAATTCTAAATGATGTGAAATTAACAAGATTAACACGGGATTTATATTTTGTAGCAAATTTAATACATTTAATATGTTTGTAACTAAATTTAACTCATACCGTTGGTTTTGTTATTTTATATTTCTAAATTTATGTAAGTAACGAATTACAAATAGTTAGAAATACAGAAAAATAAATCTGTATATATGAAAGTATACAAGTACATACATATACATACGTATACTTCAATTTATACGTATTGTTAGTGATTATACCGTAAAGTGGTTAAAAATCGTTTCTATTAATGTTAAGTACTCGCTTCATCCTTGCTAGAAACTGTTTAATTTTTTTATTTATGACAGAAATTTTTTAAAATGCTTTACTATCAGAGAAACGTCGAATTTCGTTTTCTGTCTAAAGTTTCCCATTGACAGTATTAGTATACTGTACTATAGACAAAGTTTATAAATCTAGAAATACGTGATTTATATGTATACTATGTATAAAGACAATCAAATATCATAGCAACAGATAAAGTAGACAAGAAGAATTTTTCTTTGAATTATCGCATGTTACAATTATCTTGCGGTCTCATATGAAGTTGTTATTCCATTATACATGTAAAGTATATATATATAGTATCTTGTTATCTTGACGTGATTTGTTGTCTGACTTAATATTTTAATAGTTTAGTCTTAATTTATTAAATAAAATAAAAAGAGCATTACCAAAGTTCTTTACCAAAGTGTTCTTATCAACAAATAGTATCGTCGACTTTTGTTTTAGACGGTAAAAGATTAGAATATTCGCTCAATTAAATTATCCATAAGTGAATTTGTATTGTACTATAAATATATTTGGATTTTACTTCCATATAAAAATTCGTTACTACTAATAACTAGGAGTAGAGGGTCGCAAAAGTTCGCATGCTTTTGTTTAGTATCAGCGTAATATATACGCATTAAACAACCTATACATAATAAATATATACATATGTATGTAAATTGATAATATAGAATGAATGCCAGATGACTACAAATACATATTTGTAGTGACAATACATTTATCACCTGCAATTTATTAAGTACATACAATGATATATCGCAATTATAAATATATTAATATCCATTTTCTAAAAAACTTCATTACATTTATGTTGTATAAGTAAAATCCACAAATCCGAAGAATTGTCAAACCTTTATAGCAAATGAAGTTCTATATTAAACTAATTGTTTTTATTACGGTATTATAATATAATCGCATACCTCCACTCTGAAATTAGATGCAAACATAGTTATAATATCATAT